TTTTTTCTTCAGTCCTGGTGATCAAACCTAGGGCCTCATAGGGCCGGGGATTTAGCTCAGTGGTTCTGCCGCCTGCCTCGCAAGCACAAGGACCCAAGTTCGATCCCCGGTACCAAAAAAAAAACCAAAAAAAAACCTAGGGCCTCATACATGCTAGGCAAGTACATTACCACTGAGCTACAGTCCAGCCCTGGTTATACATTTTTAGTAAATTTGTTTTATGGGTTAGGGGAAAAAGTACAAACCCAAACTTCATGTTTTATTTCCTTTAGATCTTTGAAGATGGCCACTTGAGTCACTTTATAGATGGAAGAGAGACAGGGAACTGGATGTCTTACGTCAACTGCGCCCGCTTCCCCAAGGAGCAAAACTTGGTTGCTGTTCAGTGTCAAGGACAGATATTTTATGAGAGCTGCAAGGAGATTTACCAGAACCAAGAGCTGCTTGTGTGGTACGGAGACTGCTATGAGAAGTTTCTGGACATTCCCGTGAGCCTTCAAGTCACTGAGAGCACGCCACCAGCAGGGGCCACCAAAGGGCCCACAGAAGGTGAGTGTCCCTCCCTTGCCTGCCCAGTGAGGCCTAAGAGGGGAGACCTAGCTCTTCCCTAAACTTCCTCTGAAGCTCCTCCCTTTCTAGTTCAGATATAACCAGGGGGCATTCCCCTGTTGAAGGAAATGTCTTTCCAAATCTTCCCAAAGTTGCTGAGGCGACTTCTGTTCATAGAGGTACGTACCCCCGCCCCCCGCGCACACACACCCCTTCTCCCCATTTGAGAATAAAAGGAAAGAGAAATAAAATAAATGGATGCCTCTTCTGCCTTAGGTGAGTCAGTTTTGACTTCTCTGCTCAGGCTCAGAATAACAGCGCGCATGAGGGCAAAGTTCTTAGAGCAGTGCTTTTCAAATGGGATGCAATACTTCCACCAGGTGGGAAATCAACTTAGTGACAAAGACCAACATTAAAGATGGTGGGGGGACTTCGAGAATAGCTCAGTGGTAGAGCACTTGCCTAGCATGTACAAGCCTCTGGGTGCATTTCCTGGCACTGAAGAAAAAAAATTATTAGAATAGAAAGTAGTGATGGAAAGCCAGGCATAGTGGTGCAAACCTGTAATTTCAGCACTCTGGGAGGCTGAGACAGGAGGATTCCAAGTTTGAGCCCCACCTAGGCAGTTTAGCATTTTAGACCCTGTGAAATGAAAAATAATAAAAGGGCTCAAAATGTAGCTCATACAAAGGCTCTGGGTTCCGTTCCTTGAACCACAAATAAATAAGTTAATTAATTAATGAGAGTTACTTAATTGGTAAACATTACACATTATTTTATGAGGGTTTTTTCCAAATGCGGACAGTGTAGGCCAGATATCAAAGATAAAATGTATTTGTTGCTGTGGGTCCCAGATGAGTTTGAGAGGCATTGAGCTAGGCTCTGTCCATCAGACTTGAACACAGCTGTGTACAGCTAGGACCTTGTAAAGATGCCAGTTCCCACTCGGGGTAGAGGCTGGAGACTGTGCTTTTTATATACTTCCCAAGGAGGCTGCTGCTGGCCCCCAGCCACATCTGAGCAGCTAGGAGACTGCCAAGCCACTCTGCCCTAACCCTGGGGTGAGCCTCTAGGATTGGCTTTTATGGGAGTCTGCTGCCTAGCCTGCAGGGCCTAAGGGCAAGTGCTCCACCACTAATCTATATCCCCAGGCCTGGAATTTGCATTTTAAATAAGCTCTCCCAGGGATTTTTATACACACAAAGGTTTAAGAGCTACTAATCTTCTAGGCAGGACACGTGTAAATCACTGTGAAGTATATAATTGAAGATAGAAGATATTATTACTTAGGTAAAAGAACGTGAATTGCAGTGACAGGCAGGACAGTGATTGTCTACCTGCCTGTCTCCTGCTAGACTGACACCCTCAGGGCCGGAAATGACCCTAAACACAGAGATAGGCCCTGCTCCCTGTATCTCCCTGTACCCTAATCACTGAATGAAGGAGGGATACCTTATAACTAAACTGGGAAAGCTGCTTAGGAATGAGAGGAAGTGAAGAATAAATAAGAGAGAGAAGGGAGGCCCATTTACGCTCCGGGAAGAGTGAAGCCAAAGCCCAGGAGGTCTGTGCCAGGGTTTCGGAGGAAGCTATCGGTTACTTCCAGCAGTCCGGTAATGCAGGCTGTCAGAGTTGTTTCAGGAACTCTTCTACGCCGTGTGGCATGGGCATGGGCATGGGCACAGGATGTGAGTAGAATGGGATTCTCTATGCCATACTCTGGAGCAGAACAAGTAAGAGTTATAGTCACTTCCAGAAATGTACCAACTACTTTTGAAATAGAAGTGGAAAATGGATTTGAGAAAAAGACATGCTGAATAATCCTCAAAATGTTATCATCCTTTTGAGAAATTATTCTATCAGTGTGTACTGAACTGTTAATGTTACGTTTTAGTAATACTCATGATAAGTTGTTAACATGGAATAGCTTGCAGGTGTCTGAGATCACAGTCCTGACAAGGGACAGGGAGGTGTGAGGGCTCGTGGTGGAGACAAAGGCCAGCATGGAGTGAGAGACTTGTGCTCCAGGTCTGAACAAAGTGACATTGGATGACGATGGCACTGTTAGATGTGTGATTTGGACAATGTATGAAAGGAACTTGTAAAAAAATCCCAATTTGTTGGGAAGACATAGACAATTTTTGTTTGTTTGTTTTTGTGGTGCTGGGGGTCTAACCCGAGCATGCCAGACAAGCGCTCTACCACTGAGAGCCCCTTGTCCCACACCAATATGAATGTTTTGGGATGTGATTTAAAAAGATCTAACTGAGCATGGAGTTACATGCCTGTTACCCAGTACTCTGGGAAGCTGAAGTAGGTGGGCTCCAAGTTTGAGCCCAGTCTGGTCAATTTAGTGAAATCCTGTCCAAAAAATAAAAAAGAGACTGGGGATGTCGCTCAGCATAAAGGCCCTGGGTTCAATTCCCAGTACCAGTCAATCAATAAGAGAGATCTAAATTCTAAATTCCTCTGCTCTCCAAAGGATTTTTTTTGACCAAAGGTTCATTTGAAAGCACTTCCCCATCAGGTCTGGACTCTATGTGGGTGGGGTGTTTGAATATGCAAGTTCTGTGTGTATTTTGGGGGTGGAGGTTTGGAATATGAAGACAACTATTGTTGTGGTAAGAAGAACACTTAACATGAAATCTACCATCTTGGAGACATCTCTTAAAAGAGAGTATCAGTTTTACCAGGGTCGGGAAACTCCTTGGCTAAAGAAGAACGGTTTATTAGGATAAGAGGAAAAAGAAAAGAACTAGGATAAAATTCAGACATATTTCCAAAGACTTGAGCAGGAGATATAGACGGCTAGAGCCCAATTGATAAAGGTCAGTTTTCTTTCTGTCTGTCTGGTCACTAGGCAAATTCACTATTGAACTCCTCTGACTTTTGGTGTGCTTTAGTGCTTTTATTTGTAAAATCACTGACCTTGTCCAGGAAGCAGGAAGCCAGTTATCTGACCGATGGAGACTGGCTCTGAGCTAGAATCCCCTCAGCAGGGGATCCTGAGTGTATTCTGCACCTCAATGAAAGTGATAGACCCGCAAGTGGCCAGGGAGCCTTTGGCTGGCTGTATTCCTTCTGATTATTGACTTAATGAATGGTTTAATTCCTCAGCCACCTGTTAACCATGCCTGGGATGTAACAAAGCCCCTGCTGGACAGCTTCACTGCTGGCCTGATACAGAAGAGATCTCTACAGATTCTTGTTATATTGTTAACCTTTTTTTTTTTGTACCGGGGATCAAACTCGGGACCTTGTGCTTTTGAGGCCTTGTGCTTTCGAGGCAAGCTGCGAAACCACGGAGCTAAATCCCTGGCCCTATCTCTACAGATTCTTGCATAGATTCCCTCTTGGCTCTTCTGTCCCTGGGGGCAGACAATGAGGTCTCAGTGGTGCATTTCACAGTGAAGCCACTCTTTCCCCTGGAATCCAGAGTGTCTCCTGTCTTCTCCCCTGCCCCTAGTGCATAGACACCTCTGGTCCTGAGGCCTTTGCTCTAACCTTCCCCACCACCTCCTCCACTGTTAAGAGCACCTTTACCTTTCTCAGGCTTGCCTGTCACTCAGTGAGTGAGCGTCACAGTGTGGTTAGGACTCTAACTCTTTGAAGTACTTTGGACACTGAATAACCGTGCACATTAAGGAAGCCAAAATGTTTTCACTTAGTCTGGATGTGAATATTCTAGCTCTGAAATCTTCCCCCAAAAGTTTAGAGTAGTGAACTAAGTGAAAGACAGCACTGGGAAGCCAAGTATGGGTGCCCTGGGGATGGCTCTGAACTTGTAGCTTTGGCTGCTCCTACGGGAGACGGAAAACTAGGTGTACTGCCATCAATTAACCTTGGAACAAGGCCCAGGAGGAATGTGTTCAAGAACTGGAGTGTCACCTACTGTGATGGTGGATGCTTGTAAACTCAGCTACTTGGGAGGTGGAGACAGGAGGGTTAAACAGACCAGCCCAGACAGTTTAAAGACCCTATCAAAATAAAAAGTAAAAGGAGGGCCGGGGATTTAGCTCTGTACAAGGCCATGAAAGTGAGAGCTATTCTTAAATTGGACTAGAGGGAGGATTTCTTTAATAAAACACTTTGCCAAACAAAAAGAAAGAACAGCTTGTATTTCTATTAAGGAATAAATGTTAACTTTTAAAGTAATAATGGATTATTATACTTTATTTTTTGGTTTTTGAGACAAGGCCTTGTGTATAGTCCATGCTGGCCTTGAACTCACCTTCCTGCTGATTACAGGTGTGCTCCACCCTGCCTAGCTAGCATTATTGGTATACTTTTTCATCCCTTCCAGGAAAGGTCCCTGACCCATCCCTTACTGAAAATCTTGTTCATTCCTTGTACGCTTGCTACGTGACTTGCTTTCCCATTTGATCCCCATTTAATCAATATTACCTAAGGGGCTATACTTGTAATCTTATTGGCTAATCATAGTTCTGACCCACCTCTTTCTCACCTTGTGATTTCCTATTGGATGAATATTACCTAAGCAGCTGTACTTTAATCTTCCTGGTTGACTATAGTTTTGTCCCACCTTGAACCTGCCTCACCTCGAGGCTTTGCTGCATAACCCCCACTCCCCTGCCCCAAACAGGGTCCCCAGGCAACCCACTTTCTGGTCCCTCTTAGACAGAAGCTGTCTTTCTCTTAATATATTTTTCCTACCTTGAAAAAAACAAAAAAAATTTTTTTAGAAGTCCTTATCTTACCTGGGTGTGGTAGGGCAGGATTGTATTCCCACTGCTCTGGGAGGCTAAAGCAGGAGAGAATGGAAAATTTAAGCAAGCTCTGCGTAATTTAGCAACTTAGCAAGACCTTGTCTCAAATGGGCAGGGAATGTAGCTCAATGTGAGGGCCCTCAATCCCCAGTACCAGACAAAAGTCGGGGGGAGTCCTTATCTTAGCTGGGTATGGTGCATATCGGCAACTCCAGTGTTTAGGGAGGCTGAAGCAGGAGGATCGGACTTCAAGGCCAGCCTGGGCTACACAGCAAGACCATGTCTCAAAACAAAAAATTGTTTTCTTTGTTTGTTTGTTTGTTTGTTTCTTTTCTTTGTTTTTTTGAAACAAGGACTCACTATATAGTTCAGGCTGGCCTTTAACCCGCTATGAAACCCCTGCATTGATTTCTCCTGCCTCGACTTCTTGAGTGCTAGGTTTACAGGTGTGTGCCACCAATGCCCAGAAAAACAAAAGTTCTTATATAAAAATTGTAGTTCGAGATATTTATGAACCAAATGTTGAATTAGAATGAAAATAATCCACTATCGAGAGAAGTGATATAAACAGAATTGGCTATGGGCAAGTTGGTGTGAGACAGTCCTACTATGTAGCCCGGGCTGGCCTCTGGCTTGCTGTGATCCTCCTGCCTCAGCCTCCCAAGTGCTAGGATAACAGGTGTGTGCACATTTTTCCTTTGGTGTATGTTTATGGTATTCTGGCCAAGGAGGAGGAAAAGTAACTGACCCCCTTTGTTTGGCAGAGTCTACAGAAGGTTACAGATGCGAGAGATGTGGAAAAGTGTTTACTTACAAATACTACAGAGATAAGCACCTCAAGTACACGCCCTGTGTGGACCAAGGTGACCGGAAGTTCCCCTGCTCACTGTGCAAGAGATCCTTCGAGAAGCGGGACCGCCTGCGAATCCACGTTCTGCACGTTCACGAAAAGCACCGGCCACACAAGGTGAGCCCAGGCCAGGAGGGTGATCTTTAGCCCTGCGCTGAGGACGGACAGAACAGAGCAGGGGAGAAGCCAACAGGGAGTGGTCTTGTGGAAGACCTGGTCCTGAGCAGAGTCTAGAAGAATAGACGGGGTTTCTGATTTATTCTGGAGGTACAGGGTGTGTTGGAGGGGTTCGGGGCTGCAACAGTACAGACAGCTGTGTGTAATCTTGGGTAATTGCACTTCATCCTTTATCTAAATGTCATGCAGGTATTTGTAGTTACATGTCTCTACCTAGCTTTCTTTCTTTTTTGGGGGGAGGTTTTAAGACATGGTGTCAATGTAGCCCAGGCTGGCCTCAAGCTCACACTGATCTTCCTGCCTCAGCCTCCCGAGTGCTAGGATTACAGGCCTTGCCACTAAGCCCTGCTCTGTTGTTCTTTTTTGGTGGTGCCAAGGATTGGCCCCAGGCCTCTCAGCTTGATGGCTAGGGCTCTACCACAGAGCTGCAGCCCTGCCAGGCATTTGGTAGTTACAGGTACAGTTGCAGGCAGGGAGGAGCGGAGGTGTGGTCCAGGTGGGCAGGGCCTCTGGCCCACCCTGATGATGACCTCAGGAAGCTGTTGTCTGCCATCCCAGACACATGCTTGCTGTGCCAGGATTGGTGCAGAAAGTTTGGCCCACGTTAAGGGGTGAGACTTGGGTGCACACGCATGTTCTTCTTTTTTTTGGTACCAGGGATCGAACTCGGTCCTTGCGCTTGTAAGGCAGGCGCCGGAACCACTGAGCTAAATCCCCGGCCTGACACACAGGTTCTTGATACTCAGTCCTGTTGGAACCACTGGAGGAAGTGATGACACTACTTCCCTCATTTGAAAACCGAGAATAAAATTTATAAAATTGTCCTTGTCTCTCCCCTCTTTCCTACCTTTTCCTAAGTTGAAGTTTCTTAGTCGACATTAACATGAGGTTCAACTCAGTAGTAGAGCCTTTGCCTAGCATGCTTGAGACCCTAGGAGCAACCCAATTCTCCCTCCCAAACACATTAACACTCGTTATCAGAGTAGCACTGAGGGAGCGGGAGCCAGTGCTTGCCTGTGGCCTTCTGCCTATGGCCGCTATATGCTGGGCATGGGACCAGCTCACCACCAGCGCTGCAGAGACAGGGAGGCAAGTTATGCTTAAGCCGGGATAAAGAAAACACGTGAAGCAGACGTGCTTTAAAGAAATGGTTTTGTTGGGCTGGGGATTTAGCTCAGTGGTTCCGCCGCCTGCCTCGCAAGCGCAAGGACCAGAGTTCGATCCCGGGTACCAAAAAAAAAAATGGTTTTGTCTTGATTTTGGTTCTGGAGATTGAACCCAGGGCCTTGCACATGGTTAACATGTGCTCTACCAGTGAGCTACATCCCAGCCCTTAGATAAATGATTTTAAGAAGAAAAATCATTGATTTGCTAACATCAGGGAATGCTAGGTGTGCAACTAATGGCTGAAAACTATCTTACCACCCTCCTTCTAACCTAAGTGTGTTTTCTCTTCATATAATTAATTAGCTAAAATTGATGAAAGCCAATGTCCCTGAAAAATGACATCTGTTTCAAAAAGAACACCAACTAAAATGGTCAGAGAAAAAAATCCCTGTAGTCCTTAAGAGTTATATGTACAGTTCAGGCACAAATTCAGAATTTTCCTCCTAGGGATTTGCTTTTCCCGAAAGCTGTTTTGTTTTGTTTTGTTTCCCCAGTGCTAGGGATTGAACCCAGGCCCTTTGCACTGAGCTACATTTTTAGGCCTTCATTTTATAAGGTCTCCCTAAATCACCAAGGTGCCCGGGCTGTGCTTGAACTTGTGGACTTCAAATCTTCCTACCTCAGCTTCCTACCTCAGCTTCTCAGCTACTCACCTGTAATCTGAGATTACAGGTGCACTACCACACCTGGCTCAGAAAGCATTACACTCTGTCAAGTGCTCTAGTGTATCATATTTTACCTTTATTTGTGACTTCCTTGTAAGCTTTGTTTTTGGTAGGATTTCCGATTGTAAGAGAGATTTTATTCCTTAATGATATGTATTTTACATTCATATTTACATTCTTGTTGGAAGTGTTCTTTATGGGGCTTAATCTTCACTGAACCTTTTTTTTTCATTCTGGTGAATTGAACCCAGGGCTTTGTGCATGCTAAGTGAGTGCTCTACCACTGAGCTATGTCCCTAGGCAATTTATTTTATTTTACTTGATTTTGATCCAGGGTCTTACTCGATTTCCCTCAGCATGGGGAAGTCCACTGATTATAGACACAGAATGGACCTGAGACTTCTCTCCCCTAGTGGACATGATAGTGAAGCACTTATTAGTTAGGGGATAAAGACATGGTTTCACCTCTACTCTGCTTGCTTTTCGCCTTAGTGTTCTACATGTGGGAAGTGTTTCTCTCAGTCTTCCAGCCTGAACAAGCACATGCGCGTCCACTCTGGAGATAGACCATACCAGTGTGTGTACTGTACCAAGGTAAGAGGGACCTGCAGGGGCCTCCACAGTTGAGGAGCACAGGGCCTGGCTTAGAAGGGATGCATCTTCGGTAAATGTTAGCCAGTTACCAGCCCCGTCCCCATTTCTACTCCCAAATATGCTCTCGTGTGGTAAAGATGGTTGGCTGTGGCCTCGTATTGGTAAGCTTGTGTTTGGGGCACACATTACTCAAACACCTCAAATTTGCAGGGATCTGATGATCATGGATGCTATTTCATATAAGAGCATGGACTTGGCCAAGTGTCGGGCCTCACTTCTAGTTCTCACCCAGCTGTGCAACCTTGAGCAAGTCCATTTGCTTCTTTGTTGTTTAGTTTCCTTATTGGTAAAATGAAGGAAGCAGTCTTTTTAGGGTTATTGGGCTCCATGAGATGGTGCATGTAAAACTGCATTGCAGTGCTGAGCATGTTGTAGCTCCTACTAAAATGTTAACTATTGGGCTGGGGATTTCGCTCAGTGGTTCTGCTGCCTGCCTTGCAAGCACAAGGTCCCTAGTTTGATCCCCAGTACCAAAAAAAAAAAAATGTTAGCTACTCTAATGTGAGAAAATTTAAATTGGAGGAATGCCAAGGACCTTGCTTTCTAGAGGGAGATTATAGGTGTGGCATCTAATCTATGTTACACAGAATAGAGTTATACTTGGGCAGGGTATTGAACACCTGGAATCCCAGCACTCAGGAGCTGAGGCAGCAGGACTGAAAGTTTACAGCCAGCTACTTAGTGAGTTCAAGGCTAGCCTGGGCTTAGGGTAAGACCGAGCCAGGTGTAATGTCATGCTTCTGTGATCCCAGCGCTGGAGGCTAAGGCTGCAGGGCTGCAAGTTTCAGGTCAGCCTGGATTGGGAATTGCTGGAATAGAGATAGATCATGCTTTAGAAACATTATGGCAAAATGCATAATGTGTTCTGTTTTGATGACATGGATCTGTGCTGGCCAGTGTATAGCTATTACTACACATGGCTATCTGAATTCACAAAGATGAAGTAGGTTGAAAATTCCATTCCAAGATGCACTGGCCACTTTTTTCTCCTGGCACTGGGAACTGAACCCAGGGCCTTCGCACTGAGCTACATCTGAAGCTCTTTCTTCTATTTTATTTTGAGACAGGGTGTCACTAAGTCCCTAAGTTGCCAGCTGGGTGAGAATCTGTGCTCCTGCCTCAGCTTCCCAGAGTGCTAGGATCACAGGTGTGCACCACCATGCCCTGCTCATTAGCCATATTTTAAGTGATCAGTGGCCACACATGCCTAGTGACCTCCAACCTGGATGGCACAGGTCCAGTGCATGCCCATCACTGCAGAAAGTCCTCATCTAGTGGAGAATACTGGGAGAGACTGTCTGTCATGGTATCATTCATATGTCTTACATTAAAGTCAAAACAATACAGTCTCAGAGGGACTTCTAAACACCCCAAATAGAAATGAAACATTAATTCTGCTAGACCCAGGGAAACTGGTACCTGTAGAAAAGAATCAGCGTAGAAAAACAGGCTGAAACATAAGTAACCATGAGAACCCAGCACAGATCAAAGAAAGGTGGCCAGGGCTGGGGATTCAGCTCAGAGGTTTCGCCGCCTGCCTCGAAAGCACAAGGTCCAGAGTTCGATCCCTGGTACCAAAAAAAAAAAAAAAAAAAAAAACGTGGCCAGAGGTTTGGTAGAAGAAGTGCTCCATCCTGAGGGGTAACTGCTGCCCCTGGGATTTCCAGAGGAAGGACAAAACACCCCACAAATTGTCCTGTCTCTGAAGTTCTAATCCTGATGCTTGCCCTGCACTTCTAGCTAACCTGAAAAGGAAGGATGCTCTAAAGGGGAAACTGAGGCCAGCTAGGTTATTTGGTGATCTGGCATCTGGCTGATGCATTGGAGTCCAGTTAGTTTCCTGAGGACCAGCACACCTGGATGGTCTTTGTTATGGAGCAGTGACCTGACTCCTCCCCATGTGTCAGTCCTAGGGGTCCTGCTATGCAGACACTCTGCTGTCAACTGTTTCCCTCCCAGCCCTATATTCAAATTCACTAGTTTAACCTTATGTGTTTTTTTGGTTTTGTTTTTGTTTTTTGGTACCAGGGATCAAACTCAGGCAAGGCAGGTGCAGTGCCGCTGAGCTAAATCGCCTGCCCTTAACCTCATGTTTTATATTACTGCCATTGAAGCAAAAAAATAAGGTCATTTTCTTAACATTTTTCACATACTGCCAACTGACAGGTCAGAAAATTGTATTGAAATAAATGAGAGAAAAGGTGATAAATAAGGGAAAGAGAAAACATGGCCAATAATATGTTTAAAAAACAATAAAATTCCTGGGAATCTAAACTTTACAGCTGCTCTGGAAAATAGTTGGCTGGTTTCTTTGAAAACTAAGCATGGGTGGTGCAGAAGCACAAAAAGACAGGCCAGGAGATGAGGTGGGAGGGTGGTGAGTTAGAGACCCCAGAGCCGGTACGGGGGAGAAGGGCCACCTCATCTCAGAAAGATCAGCCCTACTTGCACTGTCCTAAGATGCTGCAGTCCCCTCCTTAGCACTACTTGCAGGGAAATGGAGCCTTTTATGTTCACACAGGCCTGTACACAAATATAAACATATATATTTTGTACTGAGAATCGAACTCAGGATCTTGTGCTTGCAAGGCAGGCGCAGTGCCACTGAGCTAAATCCCCAGCCCAGGCCTGTAGAGAAATATTGATAGCAGCTTTATTCGGCATAGCCCCAAACTGCAAACAGCTCAGATGTCCTTCAATTTCAGTATACATGTTTTGTTGTTATTGTTGTTGTTGTTGTTTTTGGTACCGGGCCCCCCAAGATGTCCTTCAGTAGATGATGGCCTGGAGCCGAGCGGGGTGTGTCACACTTGTTGCTGAACAGTGCTCAGCAGTAAGAGAGAAATGAACTCCTGGTAAACACAACCTCGGCAAATCTCCATAGAGTTATGCTGAGTGGGAAAAGCAATCCTAGAGGGTTGCATAGCGTGTGATCCCATTTATACAGCATTCTTGACACGCTAAAGATACAGAAGTGGAGGACAAAGTAGTTAGTTGGCTGTCTCAGCTTGAAGAAGAAAGTGGAAGGGAGCCCTGGCCGAAGAAGGACAATGTGGACATCCTCGGGGTGAAAGTGTTCTATGTCTTGGGCCAGGGATTTAGCTCAGTGTTGCCATGCCTTGCCTCAAAAGAACAAGGTCCTGAGTTCGATCCACAGTACCAGGAAAAAAAAGAAAGCAAATGTTCTGTGCCTTGGTGCTGCACTGTGGTACTGTGAGATGGGACCACTGAGGAAAACTGGGCAATGGATGTACAGAATCTGTTATTTCTTTTTTTGTTGTTGTTATTTCTGACTATAAATGTACAAGTATTCCAAAATGTACAATTACCTCTTTTTTTATTTAAAGAAAGGAAACTAATGAGGTATTGATTTATGCATGGCTCCAGCCACCATAAGCCTCTCCTTTGGTAATGCAGTTTGTCTTGGGTGTGTCCAGAACTGCTTGTTTAAATGTTGATTTCTGGGTTTCATGTCAGATTTTTTATTTTGCCTCGTGTCAAATTTTTTAAAAATAGAGTCCCCAGTGATGTCAGCTGCTGACAACCGTGGCTGTCACATCCTGTGCGCCTCACAAGTAGCTGGGGTGACCAATCAGCGAAGTCCTTTTTGATTAAGCCTGCCGCTATTGACCATGAATGTTCTATAGCCTTGAAATCCAAGATGCACCAATCAGCAAACCAAGGGGCAACATAAGTTAGCAGTGGCAATGAGATGAGCCCCATATGAACGGGCAGTCAGGCTCATGGAAGTCGTTTTTCTCTTCTGCTCTCTGACCTCTGCAGAAATTCACTGCCTCCAGCATACTGCGCACACACATCCGGCAGCATTCCGGGGAGAAGCCCTTCAAGTGCAAGCACTGTGGCAAATCCTTTGCCTCCCACGCCGCCCACGACAGCCACGTCCGGCGCTCGCACAAGGAAGACGAGGGCGGCTCCTGCAGCGTCTGTGGGAAAGTCTTCCCCGAGCAGGAAGCCCTCGACTCCCACATGAAGGTTCATGAAGACTGCGCGCCCTCGGAGTGCGAAGCCATTGAAAACTGAGGGCTTGAACTCTCCCTGGTTCTTGTTATGGGTGCGTTGTAGGATCACATGGTTGTAACATTAAATGAGATGTGGGGAGAAGGAAGCTGCCAGCCTGCTGAATTTAGCAGGCTGATTGGACTTTTGTGGAAATGCCTTCCACAGTTGTTAACAAGCACAGAACGTGGAGGGGCTTAGCAGAAACAGTGAGAGCTCAGAGGAGATAGAGCCTGAGGTCTAAAAACTCCACACTCATCCTAAGAGTGCCCTATTTATCCCTGCAGTTCAGGGCCATGCAGAGTCCTAGACCAATGAATGAGAAGCAGGTCTTCTCTTATATTTGACTTGGGCCCCCAGATGCACTGTCTGTCCATCCAGTCCTCAGTTTCTTCAGAGAACAGATTTTTTCATTGATTCAAGCTACCACTTGATTATTAGTAGTCAATTAAGTCTTCAGATATGAATTAACCTTTTATCTTTATTTGGAGTCATTTTAAACCCTTCGTTCCTCCCCACATACACACACACACACAGCACATGCCAGATAACAAAGCTACTTACAGGGACAGGAGCAAGCTATGCACTCTGCCAGTTATGACTTATGTCAACTGAAACAAATTATAACCAGAGGGGAGCAAAGGCTAAAAACAAACCTATTTATGTCTCTCTGGTTTTAAACTTGATTTCATTTCTGATAAATAAAGTGGACATTTTTTCAGGTCTTTGTGATTAGTTTGTCATGGTAACGGGATGGGGGAAGGGAGAAGCCTGGTGCTGGTGCGGGGAATCACAGATCCAATGAGCAGACAGATTTGTCTCCTGTGGGTAGTGATAGCCAAGGTCTCTTGAGCATTCACTGTGGAACATGGTACCACTGAGTTTGCCACTCCACTTTGCAGATGAGGAAGTGAGACCCAAGATGAAGTGGTGAGAGGTCACCTGTCCCTAAGGGGCGAAGCCAGATCTGCCAACCTCCGGACTAGGCACTGCGCCTAGTCTGGCTCCTAAGGAGGATTTTCCCATTCGCACCTCCCGTTCTTGACAACACAAGTAACAGACGTTGAAATGTTGGCGCAGGAAATCTGAGAGCACAGTAAGCAAGATAAAGCATTCCTGAGGCAGCCTTAGCCTCTAAGGCTGTGTCCCATCCAGACCCTTGGTGCTGTGGACCACAAAGGGGGCCTCCTCACCCTCTACCCATGCCTCGCTTCTCAGTGGGGAGCAGATGTCTTTGCAGAGGGCGGCCCCCAGCTGTAGCGGCCGTGGCAGTGACAGGTTTTCCCCTAGGGAGTTCTGTGCTGCCTCCTCCAAGGCTGGCTAATGTGTCTTGATGGGGATGCGCCCTGTTTGGGGACTGTTTTAGCTCATGTTAATTAAGTCAGAACAATGGTCATTTTGGAAAGATCTGGGCTCATTAAGTAATTAGGCAGCCTTTCTTTCATTGCTAATTCAGAATGTATTACTTGAAACATTTTCTTACTGGTTAATGGGTTTGAACATTATTTTTATTTATTTTAAATTTTTTGTTGTTTGTATTTTGTGGGGTTTTTTTGGTACTGGGGATCCAACTCAGGTCCTTGCACTTGCGTGGCAGGTGGCAAAACCACTGAGCTAAATCCCCGGCCCCTTGAACATTATTTTTAAATCAAAGGAAAACAGATCAGAAACTACTGTGAATAACTCAATTTATTAAATGACTCATTGAATAACTCATTATTTTATCTGAACCTGGATAGCAGCAAAGAGAAGTACTTTTATTTTTTTGTTCTTTTCTAATAGTCATTCACTCACTGCCTAATATACGCCTAATAATACTCTATATAGGAGTCATATGTCCCATACCAACTGGGGATTATTTTTGAGAAGCAATTCATTCAATCTGACCTGTTAGGAAAGTTTTGGTCTTATATTCATTTTTGATTTGGGAAATATAGCCAGTTCATAATACAATATGCTTCTTGAGTAATTACCTGAAGTTCTCTTATATTTGTTTCTTTAAAATATGTATTTCAGGGCCCAGGATTTAGCTCAATAGTTCCACTGCCTCCCTCACAAGCTCAAGGTCCCAAGTTTGATTCCCAGTACCAAAAGAAAAAGTGTTTTTCAGCTGAGTATGGTGGAACATGCTTGTAATCCTAGCACTGCGGAGGCTGAGGCAGGAGGATCGCTTGCAAGTTTGAGGCCATCCTGGGCTACATAGTTCAGGGTCAGATTGAATTATGAAGGGAGACCCTGCCTCAAAAAACTAAAAAGAAAAATGTATATTTCAAAAAGATATGTATTTTATGTACTTCTAAAGGTGATTGGAGCCAGCTTGTAACAACAAAAAGACACTTAGGAGGCTGAGGTAGGAGGGTTTCTGTGAGTTTGAGGCCAGCCTGGACTACAAAGTAAGTTCAAGGCCAGTCTAAACTACATAGTGAGGGCCGGAGATTTAGTTCAGTGGTTCCCTCGCCTGCCTCGAAAGCGCAAGGTCCAAAGTTCGATCCCCGGTCCCCAAAATAAATAAATAAACTACATAGTGAGACTCTGTCTCACACACACACAAAAAACTAGTATGATGGCTGAGCATTGTTAGAAGCAGCAATACCTAACAATACAGATTTTGTTTGAGACAGGTCTGGCTGTGTAGTTCAGACTGGCCTTGAACTCACCATGTAGACCAGGGTGGTCCTGAACTCACAGCAATCCTTCTGCCTCAGTCTCCTGAGTGCTGGAACTATAGGTGTGCACCACCATGCCCGGTCTAACAATACAGATTTTGGAGTTGGACAAACTTGTATTTATCTTCTATTTCTTCATTGTATAGTGTTTTATGAGCGGTTTGTTAAATCACCCATAAAATAATGTGGTAATATGTTGTAGGGTGTCGTGAGACTTAACATGAGCCTACTTATATAATGGATGAGATTAATATTTCTTCCTATTAAGCTGTTAAAACAAGGGAATCAGAATTATGTGGGCCGGGGATTTAGCTCAGTGGCACTGCACCTGCCTTGCAAGTGTAAGGTCCTGAGTTCTATCCCCAGTACCAAAAAAAAGAATTATGCAAATGTTATTGATAATATATCTTTTTTTAAAGAGGGGAATGGGTCTTGCTATGTAGTTCAGGCTGGCCTTGAACTCGAGGCAATCCTCCTGAGTTCTGGGTTTACAGGTGTGCACATCACGCCCAGCTGACATATTAATTAATCAATTAAAATACAAACTCTAGGGCTGGGGATTTAGCTCAGTGGTTCTGCCACCTGCCTGGCAAGGGCAAGGTCCCTGGTACCAAAAAAATAATAATAAAATAAAACTAGCCTTACCTATCCTCTATTGAATCCAAGTCTGGGGGTGGGACTCAACAATCCGTATGAAGTTTGGGAACCATAGCTTATTTGATTTCTCTCAGTTCCTGCAACATAGCAGTGGATGAAGTCAGTAGCAAGGTGACTTGGCAGAATCCCAAAGCTGTTCCTTAGAAGAAAGCATTAGAAGGGCCAGGGATTTAGCTCAGTGGTTCTGCCTCAAAAGCGCAAAGCGCAAGGTCCCGAGTTTGATCCCTGGTACCAAAAAAAAAAAAAAAAGAAGAAGAAGAAAGCATTAGAATACAGATCGGAGGCAGCATGGTCCACTCAGTGGGAATAACAGACACCCATAGAATGTGCTGGGCTGTTTACCTGTTAGGAATACAGAACTGCAGCTGTGCTGGGTTATTACGGATGGAAATAGAGAACTTCCTGTAAGGCAGTTTCTCGGCTTGTGCTTTTTCTTTCTTTCCTTTTTTTTTTTTTGTACCAGGGATCGAACTCAGGTCCATGCTCTTGTGCAACAGGCGGTGAAACCACTAAGCTAAATCCCCGGCCCCAATAAACAATTCATTTAGGGACCAGGAATTTTTTTTTTTTTTTTTTTTTTTTTTGGTACTGGAGATCAAACTCAGGACCCTGCACTTTCAAGGCAAGCGCTGGAACCACTGAGCTAAATCCCTGGCCCCTGCTTTTTTTTCTTTACCTGTGTCAACATCTGATGATAAACACCTATCCACTCAGGATAAAAATAATGTATAAAAAGCAACATTTGAAACCCTGAAAAAATAACTAGGCTTAAAGTAGAGTGGCATGCATGCTATTGATGGCTCTTAACAGGTCCTCAGGGTGTCCTAGGATGGGAGGGGGGAGGCTGGCAGTTGCAGTGAACAGTGTGTCAAAGCAGCAGATGTCCAGGGTCTCAGTGAGCCTGTGGCTGCTCAGTGTTTTGGCCATAAGATCAACTTAGATTTACCCAGGGGAGGCACAGGGCGCCATCCACAGCATAATAAGTTGGAGGTCAAACCACAAATACTGTTCTAGACCACCTATTACTGGCGGGTCCAATTTTCACTTGATAAGTTTATGTGCTTTTAGAATTTCTAGACTCTGACCAGCCAGAAATGCATTGAACTATTAGAAACCCTATCCAAAATTCAGGAAAACAAACTTGAATTCTTTCAATAGATACTAGGTACTATGATAGTACAGTATCTTACCATGGATATTTTTGTGGTTGATAGACCAATATTAGAATAACCATTATTTGTTTGTTTGGGTTTTTTTGGTACTGGGTATTGAACTCAGGACCTTGTGCTTTCAAGGCAGGCAGCGGAACCACTGAGATAAATCCCCGGCCCAGAATAACCATTATTATTTTGAAAGAGAAGGCAATAATAAGAGTCCAGTATGGTAGTACCCACTGATAATCCCAGCCACTCAGGAAGCTGAGCCAGGAGGAAAGCATGTTTGAGGCCAGCCTGGGCAATTTATCAAGACCTTCTCTCAAAACTAAAAAAAAAGGCTAGGGATGTAACTCATTGGTAGAGTGCTTGCCTAGCATGTATGAGGCCCTGGGTTTCATCCATAGAACAGGAAAAGAACGTGTGTGAGTGTGTGTGAGTGTGTGTGTGTGCACACGCGTGCGCGCACATATAGAGAGGTGTCTCTGAGAATTTCCATAAGGTGTGTTGTGGTTTATGTCTGGATGTCTCCCTGAAGCCTCTTAGAGTCTTTTTTGGAGGTGGCTGAATCTGGAATGTGTGATGCTGGGATTAAGGGCATGTGGTTACTAAACCACTACACATGAGTGGTTGGTTTGGCCCTAATCCCAGTAGTTTGGACGGGATGAAAGGGGCAGAAAGAGGATGTTAAGGTCCCTTGCTGCTTTGCTACCTTCTGTCCGCCATGAACTGTTTCTTCTCTGCCGCCCTTCCTTGGAGCCAGCCGATTATGGACTGAAACCTTTACGAACTGTAAGCCAAATAAATCTTTCCCCTTTAATTTGGGGTGTTGAGTATTTTTGTCTCAGCAAGAGAAAAATGAGACGGGGTGTGAGAATCTTACAAAAGAAACCATAGTTTTCTACATTATTCAAAGAGATCACACTGCAGTTTCTGTCACCCTCTTAAAAGAGCAATCATACACAGTAAAATAGGCTCTTGTGCCTCCATTTTTTTACAGGTGCCCACTTACACTGGGTGAATTAAGTACATTAGTGACTATCAGCACCCAGAGCGGGACTGGAGCCTTGCTTTTTAAAGAGGAGGCTCAGGTCTTCCAAAGGTTCACAGGAATACCTTCCTTCTTTCAGGTGGACTCTTTCTTCAGATGGTTCAAGTGCAGCTGTCTTTATCCTTTTGATGTCCTCCTTGGAAAAAGCTTCTTCCGTCAATGAACCATATCTCCTCAGGGTCTTG